GCGGAGCCTAGTGGCACCGCAAACTCGATCGAAAAGACCCTCCTCGTGCAACAAAAGCTGTATTTTGAGAACAGATTTCGTTAAAAACGTGGCCCCTTTTCTGCGGAGCCTAGTGGCACCGCAAACTCGATCGAAAAGACCCCCCTCGTGCACCAAAAGCCGTATTCTGAGAGCAGATTTCTTTAAAACTGTGACCACTTTTCTGCGGAGCCGAATGGCACCGCAACATCGAGTTGCAAGACCCCCCTCGTACAACAAAAGCTGTATTTTGAGAACAGATTTCGTTAAAACTGTGACCACTTTTCTGCGGAGCCGAATGGCACCGCAACATCGAGTTACAAGACCCCCCTCGTACAACAAAAGCTGTATTTTGAGAACAGATTTCGTTAAAACTGTGACCACTTTTCTGCGGAGCCGAATGGCACCGCAACATCGAGTTACAAGACCCCCCTCGTACAACAAAAGCTGTATTTTGAGAACAGATTTCGTTAAAACTGTGACCACTTTTCTGCGGAGCCGAATGGCACCGCAACATCGAGTTACAAGACCCCCCTCGTACAACAAAAGCTGTATTTTGAGAACAGATTTCGTTAAAACTGTGACCACTTTTCTGCGGAGCCGAATGGCACCGCAACATCGAGTTACAAGACCCCCCTCGTACAACAAAAGCTGTATTTTGAGAACAGATTTCGTTAAAACTGTGACCACTTTTCTGCGGAGCCGAATGGCACCGCAACATCGAGTTACAAGACCCCCCTCGTACAACAAAAGCTGTATTTTGAGAACAGATTTCGTTAAAACTGTGACCACTTTTCTGCGGAGCCGAATGGCACCGCAACATCGAGTTACAAGACCCCCCTCGTACAACAAAAGCTGTATTTTGAGAACAGATTTCGTTAAAACTGTGACCACTTTTCTGCGGAGCCGAATGGCACCGCAACATCGAGTTACAAGACCGCCCTCGTGCAACAAAAGCTGGATTTTGAGAACAGATTTCGTTAAAACTGTGACCACTTTTCTGCGGAGCCGAATGGCACCGCAACATCGAGTTACAAGACCCCCCTCGTACAACAAAAGCTGTATTTTGAGAACAGATTTCGTTAAAACTGTGACCACTTTTCTACGGAGCCGAATGGCACCGCAACATCGAGTTACAAGACCCCCCTCGTACAACAAAAGCTGTATTTTGAGAACAGATTTCGTTAAAACTGTGACCACTTTTCTGCGGAGCCGAATGGCACCGCAACATCGAGTTACAAGACCCCCCTCGTGCAACAAAAGCTGTATTTTGAGAACAGATTTCGTGAAAACTGTGACCACTTTTCTGCGGAGCCGAATGGCACCGCAACATCGAGTTACAAGACCCCCCTCGTACAACAAAAGCTGTATTTCGAGAACAGATTTCGTTAAAACTGTGACCACTTTTCTGCGGAGCCGAATGGCACCGCAACATCGAGTTACAAGACCCCCCTCGTGCAACAAAAGCTGTATTTTGAGAACAGATTTCGTGAAAACTGTGACCACTTTTCTGCGGAGCCGAATGGCACCGCAACATCGAGTTACAAGACCCCCCTCGTGCAACAAAAGCTGTATTTTGAGAACAGATTTCGTTAAAACTGTGACCACTTTTCTGCGGAGCCGAATGGCACCGCAACATCGAGTTACAAGACCCCCCTCGTACAACAAAAGCTGTATTTCGAGAACAGATTTCGTTAAAACTGTGACCACTTTTCTGCGGAGCCGAATGGCACCGCAACATCGAGTTACAAGACCCCCCTCGTGCAACAAAAGCTGGATTTTGAGAACAGATTTCGTTAAAACTGTGACCACTTTTCTGCGGAGCCGAATGGCACCGCAACATCGAGTTACAAGACCCCCCTCGTACAACAAAAGCTGTATTTTGAGAACAGATTTCGTTAAAACTGTGACCACTTTTCTGCGGAGCCGAATGGCACCGCAACATCGAGCTACAAGACCCCCCTCGTGCAACAAAAGCTGGATTTTGAGAACAGATTTCGTTAAAAACGTGACCACTTTTTTCCGGAGCCGAATGGCGCCGCAACATCGAGCTAAAACACCCCCCTCGTGCAACAAAAGCTCTATTTTGAGAGCAGATTTCGTTAAAAACGGGACTAATTTTTTTTTCTGTCGACGATTTCCCTCTCGACGTATAGGGGAAAGTCTAATAAAATATCACATGTACACGTTAGAAGACGTGGTCTGTCATTACAACAAACACTCGAACGAACTGGCCACCGTGATCTTAGCCGCCAGACTCACGAGGGATCCGGAGCGCACGAGTCCACGAGGGATCCGGAAGCGGCCCTCGTGGACCTGTGGCGCACGTACGGGTCCGTCTTCGACGCTCTGGATCTTTTCCGAACACGCGGCACGCGTTCGACGCAAGGGCGTCAGGGATCTCATGCACGCCGTCGTTCCGTGGGAAGCTTCCGTAGACACTTCCTTCGTAGATCACGGTTTTCGCAAGTGCTGGTGGAGCGTTTACTTGCGAGATCACCTGGCCGTCGAACCGTTGAGCCCTAAAGAAAGGAAAGTCTACCTCGCAGATTTACGTTCGTTGGGAATAGACGATTGGAAACCCGTCGCGAATAACAACGAGAGGGCGATCCCTTCCTCGGCTCGAGTGCGAGGAGGAGGGCCCGTGGCCGGACGTCCCAAATACGACCCTCGATTCGCTTACTGGCGAGACAACGTCAAAGACGATCCGACTAATCTACTCGGCGAAGAGACTTGGATATACGCATCCCACTTCCAAAAACAACTTCGGAGACGCATCGAAGAGATCGATCGTTACAGGAGCGTCTACGACGTAAAAGAAGAAGAAATACCGCGGCATTCGGACTACGAAAGACGGACGACGTTAACGCTCAAAAAGTACGGAGTGGCCGCCGACAAAAACGTGGCGCGAGAGTTTGCGCACTTGGAAATGGCGTACGCCGGACTTCGCGACCTGACCGAAACGGAAACGTACGTCGCGCGCACCAACGCCAGAAAAGCGTCTCCGGCGACGTACGAGGCGTTCGACGGGTTGCTGGTCACGCGAGACGCGCCCGCGAATCGCAGGATCGCGGCTTTCTATAGACTGGCGAGCGAGGCGGTGACCGGAGAAGTACTCCAGGCCCTGCGCGAATTGATCGTCGGACGACTGGAAATCGGATCGCGGCAGTTGCCGCCGCCGCAACGGCGGCCGCGTTCGGAGGAGACCGACGACGATCGGGAAGCCGTCTCCTCGTTTCTCCGTTTCCGACCGCCGCCACCACCACCACCGCCTTCGTCTAAAGAAAAAGAGACCGTAGTAGTAGATTTGGATCGGCTTACGACAAAGTCTTTATTTCCTTACAAACTATGTACTTACTGGGAGAAGCGAGTGAGGGACGCGGGAGGTCCCGGTCCATTACGACGCGTGGCTGTTCTTGGAAATGGCACACCGTTTTGGTGACGCGATCGATAGCGCTCGAACCAACGTTCTGTACGGATTGCCGAGGTCTCTCGAAGACTTTGTAGGTAGAGACTTGTCTTTCGAATGCGAAACGTCCGCCGAGTACCTGCGAATGCGGAGAGACGCCCTGCGAAGTCTGAACCTGGCCGCCTCCGACGACATCGAATACCGTCTACAGCTCGTTTCGTTACACGAACTCTCCCAAGAGATCGGGCGTTTGAATCGATCCGAAATCGAACGGGCGCGGACCGCAGTCGCCGGTGCGGCGGCCGTTCTGTTCGAGGTGTTTCGTCTTTCGGAAATTCCATTTTACGTAAAGATGCACATGTTACGTCCCGTACAACACCTCCTGACCACCAGTCTCCTCGAAGACGTCTTGACGGTGGTCACGTTTCGTCTGGGTGGAACGACGACGAAAAAAGACTCCGAGACTAGAGCCAGGATACTGGCGAAAGCTCGGGCGTACGTACTACCACCACCGCCGCCGCCACTACTAAAGACGGTTGCCCGACACGCTAACGAGTCCGGAGTTTTGAGTTATCTCGTGGTAGAAGGTCTGACCGCTGCCGCGGTGACCACCGCCGTAGCGGTAGCCGCCACGACGAGACGCGAACGTTGAAGAAAAAAACAAAAACATTCCGTTTATCACCTATACACGAAAGACTACGCGATGTCCGTCAAAGTCACCGCCGCGTACTGGGTCCGTTACATTCGCAATCGCACGCCGACTGGGACTCATTTGGCCGGATGGAAAATATTGGAGTATCTGCGTACCAAGCCGAGGGTATTCGTCGAATGGTTCAGAAACCTTCCAGATGCCAACGACGAATGGATCCTGTCGTGTTACGAATCGCTGAGCAAATCGTACGACGAACCCCAATTGCGCAGCGGCGCTTATTTAGAAGAGTCGGAGGGGATATTTAGAGAGATGAAGTTGTTGTCTGCCATCGGCTTGCAAGAACTTAGGTCTCTATACAACAGATTGAAAGAGTTTCCCGAAGATCTTGGCACTCGCCGTACTTGGCGATTCGAGTCCGAGGCCTGGAGCCTGATGGAATTGCTGCGTTACTACATTAGCAATGGCGAGGACTTTTCCAATTTCTTCGAACGCTTTCAATCGGGACCGTCCGACATCAAAAACCGTCATTTACTCGCTTCGGATTGCCATCAAAGAAGATTCGTCGTCCCCTATAGACGTCTTTCTTCCGAACAATTCGAATCGTACTCCAAAGACTTTGAAGGCTTCTCTTTACGACTTGGACACGAAACACTTGAACGACATACGAGTGGTGGGACCCAGGGACCGCGATCCTTCGCCACCACTTCCACCTGGTTTAAAGGACCGCGAAGAACCCCCGCAACCACCTCAACAGCAGCAGCAAGAGCAGCAGCAAGAGCAACAGCAGACGTTCGACGACACGGAAGTGTCCGACGCGAAACCTTCGGCCGCGTCAAATTTCTACGCGTACGCCATACCGGCGTCTGTCGTCGCGTTCTGTCTTTCGGCCGTGGTCGTCGCCAAGTCGTAACAAAAAAAAAAATGTTTTTCTTCTGGCCGGTCTACGAAGTCTACATGAACGATTACGAAAATTCGGTTCTAGCCACTCGAGCGTTTTGGTATCGACACGTTCGTGATCGCGAACCGACCGACGTCCAAACGAACCCCTGGAAAGTCATGGAATATCTGCGCACGAGACCGTCCAAACCGGCTTTCGTCAAATGGACGAAATCGACGGAGGAAGGATACAACACTCGAGTTCGCAGAGTACTCGTGGAGGCCTTGAAAGTTCGCGAAAAGTACATTTCGGAGTATTACGACGAAATCTACGCCGAACATCTCGAACGAATCTTTAGAGAAATGAAATTGTTTTCTCTGGCGGCTCTGCGCAATTTGGCTTCTCTATACAACGTACTGAACGAAAAGCCCAAAGAAACCCTACTGTCTCTTTTGATGCAGACGTGGCGATTGAAATCGCCGGGATGGATCCTGTTGGAGCTGATGCGCTACCACCTTCGCCGGGGAGACGACTTGGAAACGTTTCGACAACGAATTCAATCGATGGGACCTTCGGAGATGAAAAACGCGAGAGAAATCCGTTTAATACGAACTCGTCTGGACGAAAACGAGAATAAACGAGTAGACTTTCGCGTTTCGTTCGAAGACTTGGAATCCTATTCCAGAGATTTAAGGAGCGTCGTAGAAACTTACGACATAGACGCGCAGCATTTGGACGCCATGCACCCTTTCGTGCGCGCTCCCGCTCGGGACGACACTTCTTTACTACCGCATTGGTCCCCGCCGTCGAAGAAGAACCGCCATCGTCGCCGTCGCCACCGCCACCGCCGTCGCCGGAGATAACGGACGCGGGGTCGTCGTCGTGGTCGTCGACCCAGACGTACTACGCGCACGCCGTACCAATTTCGATAGTTGCTTTCGGTATGTCGGTGTTGGTTGCGACGAAAATACGGAAGAATCAATAAATATTGGGGGGGGGGGGGGTATAGAACACAAGTGGTCACGTTTTTAACGAAATCTGCTCTCGAAATACGGATTTTGTTGCACGAGGGGGATCTTTTAGTTCGATGTTGCGACGCCATTCGGCTCCCGAAAATAAGTGGTCACGTTTTTAACGAAATCTGCTCTCGAAATACGGCTTTTGTTGCACGAGGGGGTTCTTTTAGTTCGATGTTGCGACGCCATTCGGCTCCCGAAAATAAGTGGTCACGTTTTTAACGAAATCTGCTCTCGAAATACGGATTTTGTTGCACGAGGGGGGTCTTTTAGCTCGATGTTGCGGCGCCACTAAGCTCCGAAAATAAAATGGACACGTTTTTAACGAAATCTGCTCTCGAAATACGGCTTTTGTTGCACGAGGGGGGTCTTTTAGCTCGATGTTGCGGTGCCACTAAGCTCCGAAAATAAAGTGGACACGTTTTTGACGAAATCGCATCTCAGAATATAGCTTTTGTTGCACGAGGGGGGTCTTTTAGTTCGATGTTGCGGTGCCATTCGGCTCCGGAGAAAAGTGGTCACGTTTTTAACGAAATCTGCTCTCGAAATACGGATTTCGTTGCACGAGGGGGGTCTTTTAGCTCGATGTTGCGGCGCCACTAAGCTCCGAAAATAAAATGGACACGTTTTTAACGAAATCTGCTCTCGAAATACGGCTTTTGTAGCACGAGGGGGGTCTTTTAGCTCGATGTTGCGGTGCCACTAAGCTCCGAAAATAAAGTGGACACGTTTTTGACGAAATCGCATCTCAGAATATAGCTTTTGTTGCACGAGGGGGGTCTTTTAGCTCGATGTTGCGGCGCCATTCGGCTCCGGAAAAAAGTGGTCACAGTTTTAACGAAATCTGTTCTCGAAATACGGCTTTTGTTGCACGAGGGGGGTCTTGTAGCTCGATTTTGCGGTGCCATTCGGCTCCGGAAAAAAGTGGTCACAGTTTTAACGAAATCTGTTCTCGAAATACGGCTTTTGCTGCACGAGGGGGGTCTTTTAGCTCGATGTTGCGGTGCCAGTAAGCTCCGAAAATAAAGTGGACACGTTTTTGACGAAATCGCATCTCAGAATATAGCTTTTGTTGCACGAGGGGGGTCTTTTAGCTCGATGTTGCGGCGCCATTCGGCTCCGGAAAAAAGTGGTCACAGTTTTAACGAAATCTGTTCTCGAAATACGGCTTTTGCTGCACGAGGGGGGTCTTGTAGCTCGATGTTGCGGTGCCACTAAGCTCCGAAAATAAAGTGGACACGTTTTTGACGAAATCGCATCTCAGAATATAGCTTTTGTTGCACGAGGGGGGTCTTTTAGCTCGATGTTGCGGCGCCATTCGGCTCCGGAAAAAAGTGGTCACAGTTTTAACGAAATCTGTTCTCGAAATACGGCTTTTGCTGCACGAGGGGGGTCTTGTAGCTCAATGTTGCGGCGCCATTCGGCTCCGGAAAAAAGTGGTCACAGTTTTAACGAAATCTGTTCTCGAAATACGGCTTTTGTTGCACGAGGGGGGTCTTGTAGCTCGATGTTGCGGCGCCATTCGGCTCCGGAAAAAAGTGGTCACAGTTTTAACGAAATCTGTTCTCGAAATACGGCTTTTGTTGCACGAGGGGGGTCTTGTAGCTCGATTTTGCGGTGCCATTCGGCTCCGGAAAAAAGTGGTCACAGTTTTAACGAAATCTCTTCTCGAAATACGGCTTTTGTTGCACGAGGGGGGTCTTGTAGCTCGATGTTGCGGCGCCATTCGGCTCCGGAAAAAAGTGGTCACAGTTTTAACGAAATCTCTTCTCGAAATACGGCTTTTGTTGCACGAGGGGGGTCTTGTAGCTCGATGTTGCGGCGCCATTCGGCTCCGGAAAAAAGTGGTCACAGTTTTAACGAAATCTGTTCTCGAAATACGGCTTTTGTTGCACGAGGGGGGTCTTGTAGCTCGATTTTGCGGCGCCATTCGGCTCCGGAAAAAAGTGGTCACAGTTTTAACGAAATCTGTTCTCGAAATACGGCTTTTGCTGCACGAGGGGGGTCTTGTAGCTCGATGTTGCGGTGCCACTAAGCTCCGAAAATAAAGTGGACACGTTTTTGACGAAATCGCATCTCAGAATATAGCTTTTGTTGCACGAGGGGGGTCTTTTAGCTCGATGTTGCGGCGCCATTCGGCTCCGGAAAAAAGTGGTCACAGTTTTAACGAAATCTGTTCTCGAAATACGGCTTTTGCTGCACGAGGGGGGTCTTGTAGCTCAATGTTGCGGCGCCATTCGGCTCCGGAAAAAAGTGGTCACAGTTTTAACGAAATCTGTTCTCGAAATACGGCTTTTGTTGCACGAGGGGGGTCTTGTAGCTCGATGTTGCGGCGCCATTCGGCTCCGGAAAAAAGTGGTCACAGTTTTAACGAAATCTGTTCTCGAAATACGGCTTTTGTTGCACGAGGGGGGTCTTGTAGCTCGATGTTGCGGCGCCATTCGGCTCCGGAAAAAAGTGGCCACAGTTTTAACGAAATCTGTTCTCGAAATACGGCTTTTGCTGCACGAGGGGGGTCTTGTAGCTCGATGTTGCGGTGCCACTAAGCTCCGAAAATAAAGTGGACACGTTTTTGACGAAATCGCATCTCAGAATATAGCTTTTGTTGCACGAGGGGGGTCTTTTAGCTCGATGTTGCGGCGCCATTCGGCTCCGGAAAAAAGTGGTCACAGTTTTAACGAAATCTGTTCTCGAAATACGGCTTTTGCTGCACGAGGGGGGTCTTGTAGCTCAATGTTGCGGCGCCATTCGGCTCCGGAAAAAAGTGGTCACAGTTTTAACGAAATCTGTTCTCGAAATACGGCTTTTGTTGCACGAGGGGGGTCTTGTAGCTCGATGTTGCGGCGCCATTCGGCTCCGGAAAAAAGTGGTCACAGTTTTAACGAAATCTGTTCTCGAAATACGGCTTTTGTTGCACGAGGGGGGTCTTGTAGCTCGATTTTGCGGTGCCATTCGGCTCCGGAAAAAAGTGGTCACAGTTTTAACGAAATCTCTTCTCGAAATACGGCTTTTGTTGCACGAGGGGGGTCTTGTAGCTCGATGTTGCGGCGCCATTCGGCTCCGGAAAAAAGTGGTCACAGTTTTAACGAAATCTCTTCTCGAAATACGGCTTTTGTTGCACGAGGGGGGTCTTGTAGCTCGATGTTGCGGCGCCATTCGGCTCCGGAAAAAAGTGGTCACAGTTTTAACGAAATCTGTTCTCGAAATACGGCTTTTGTTGCACGAGGGGGGTCTTGTAGCTCGATTTTGCGGCGCCATTCGGCTCCGGAAAAAAGTGGTCACAGTTTTAACGAAATCTGTTCTCGAAATACGGCTTTTGTTGCACGAGGGGGGTCTTGTAGCTCGATTTTGCGGTGCCATTCGGCTCCGGAAAAAAGTGGTCACAGTTTTAACGAAATCTCTTCTCGAAATACGGCTTTTGTTGCACGAGGGGGGTCTTGTAGCTCGATGTTGCGGTGCCATTCGGCTCCGGAAAAAAGTGGTCACAGTTTTAACGAAATCTCTTCTCGAAATACGGCTTTTGTTGCACGAGGGGGGTCTTGTAGCTCGATGTTGCGGTGCCATTCGGCTCCGGAAAAAAGTGGTCACAGTTTTAACGAAATCTCTTCTCGAAATACGGCTTTTGTTGCACGAGGGGGGTCTTGTAGCTCGATGTTGCGGCGCCATTCGGCTCCGGAAAAAAGTGGTCACAGTTTTAACGAAATCTCTTCTCGAAATACGGCTTTTGTTGCACGAGGGGGGTCTTGTAGCTCGATGTTGCGGCGCCATTCGGCTCCGGAAAAAAGTGGTCACAGTTTTAACGAAATCTCTTCTCGAAATACGGCTTTTGTTGCACGAGGGGGGTCTTGTAGCTCGATTTTGCGGTGCCATTCGGCTCCGGAAAAAAGTGGTCATAGTTTTAACGAAATCTCTTCTCGAAATACGGCTTTTGTTGCACGAGGGGGGTCTTGTAGCTCGATGTTGCGGCGCCATTCGGCTCCGGAAAAAAGTGGTCACAGTTTTAACGAAATCTCTTCTCGAAATACGGCTTTTGTTGCACGAGGGGGGTCTTGTAGCTCGATTTTGCGGTGCCATTCGGCTCCGGAAAAAAGTGGTCACAGTTTTAACGAAATCTCTTCTCGAAATACGGCTTTTGTTGCACGAGGGGGGTCTTGTAGCTCGATGTTGCGGTGCCATTCGGCTCCGGAAAAAAGTGGTCACAGTTTTAACGAAATCTCTTCTCGAAATACGGCTTTTGTTGCACGAGGGGGGTCTTGTAGCTCGATGTTGCGGTGCCATTCGGCTCCGGAAAAAAGTGGTCACAGTTTTAACGAAATCTCTTCTCGAAATACGGCTTTTGTTGCACGAGGGGGGTCTTGTAGCTCGATGTTGCGGTGCCATTCGGCTCCGGAAAAAAGTGGTCACAGTTTTAACGAAATCTCTTCTCGAAATACGGCTTTTGTTGCACGAGGGGGGTCTTGTAGCTCGATGTTGCGGTGCCATTCGGCTCCGGAAAAAAGTGGTCACAGTTTTAACGAAATCTCTTCTCGAAATACGGCTTTTGTTGCACGAGGGGGGTCTTGTAGCTCGATGTTGCGGTGCCATTCGGCTCCGGAAAAAAGTGGTCACAGTTTTAACGAAATCTCTTCTCGAAATACGGCTTTTGTTGCACGAGGGGGGTCTTGTAGCTCGATGTTGCGGTGCCATTCGGCTCCGGAAAAAAGTGGTCACAGTTTTAACGAAATCTCTTCTCGAAA